GGACAAAAGGTTTCACGAGGCTAAGAGACAGTACCATGAAATTTACTTTTATTGCCTCGGGGGAGGGGTGCGGGGATGACTCTCTGTAAACCAATGTTTCTCTTTGTTATCACGAGATCCTCCTCTGAGAGTCCAACTATTCCCCCCCAAATCGAACCAACGACTAACCGATTACCAATGTGTTCTGTTTTGTAGCAATAGTGTAGTACTTGCACCGGTTTAGACTTAGTCGGAGTAAAAGTCTGTCCAAAAATATCTTTACCTAGTTTTTCTCTCTCTTAGAAACAAAGGACTTGAAGTCTCTGAGAACGGGTCTCCCCTGTGTACAACTACATCTTACTCTGTACTTCTTCATCCCTCTTGGGGTTGACAACTACGTCTGCGCGCGCGACCTGCGTCTGGGCGCCGTGTAGACAAGCTACATTACTTCTCTGTACTTCTCTCCCCTTGTGTACAACTACATCCTTCTCCTCGTGTACCACTACGATCTTCTCTGTACGTTCTTTCTCCCCTGTGACAACTACATCCTTCTCTGTACTTCTATCTCCCCTGGTACAACTACATCTTCTCCCCAGTGCTACAACTCATCTTTCTCTGTACTTCTTCTCCCCTGTGTACAATACATCTTCTTCCCCTGTGTACGACTACATCTTCTCTGTACTTCTTCTCTCCCCTGTGTTACAATACTTCTTCTCCCCAGTGACAAACTACATCTTCTCTGTTTACTTCTTCTCCCCTGTGTACACTCATGCTTCTCCCTGGTTACGACTACTTCCTTCTCTGTTATCTTCTTCTCCCCGTGTAAAACTACATCTTCTCTGAACATCTTTTCCCCTGTGTTACAACTACATCTTACTCTGTACTTCGTTTCCTCCCCTGTTGTACCAACTACATCGTTCTCGTACATTCTATCTCCCCTGTGTACAACTACATCTTCTCTGTACTTCTTGCTCCCCTGTGTACAACTACATCTTTCTGTACTCCTTCTCCTAAAACGTGTTATCCCCTGGAAATTTATTTGTCTAGAGCTAGTAGTCTACTTCACTCAACCCATTCCCAGAGTGGACGACCGCAAGAATTGCACCTATCAAAGCTACTCAAACGTCTCGTCTGGTCTTCATAAGGAATGTCGTGGCAGAAAGTCGTCTCCGAGGAGAGTATCAGGCAGTGGACGGTCGTTTGTGTGTAATCTAGTTTGAGTGGAGATTGTCTCTTCTCGTGTGTAAAACGTGAGAAATTTTCAAGTAAATTGTAGTATTTGTAAGTGTCGCAAAGCTAGATAGATCCGTTTCACAGGACTGACACTACACTGAAATTCGCATTGGTCTAAACACAACTTGGAATTTAGAAACCTTTAATCTACGAATTTAGAGAAAACCGCAGAGGGGATTATGGGTAATGCTGCAATGATCTGTTTGGTGTTTCAGCCAATCAGAGACAGGCTCTGTATATATCTGAGACCTATAATATATTGATGAAACACAGTATAATAGGGGACCTTTATTTGTGTAGCGTTGCGTTGATGTGTCATGGAGCTGCTGCTAGTGTTGGTCTGTTTGAACTCACAGAAGGTCTCTCCCTCTCTGTCGCTGGCCGTCCCGCTGCAGACGACGCTGCTCGACCTGGACGCTCTCGCTCGACACCTCGCCGACTGCATCCGGAGGTCAGAATCTGTGCTCTGAAAACACGAGATACATATATATTGTAAAACTGTATATGAATGAAAATGAACCCAACTGTAATTCAAACTTAAATTGCCGCTGAGGCACCAGGAAAAGCGAATCTCATGCAGAGAATAATCAATTTTCCAGGCAAGAATGTTGTTTTTGTGCATTCATTGTCTATGAATTCCAATTATCCAATATTTAACAAACAATGGCTTCTCCTGTGTTTTCCCTGATTTAAAAAAACATACTGGTGCGCTAATCCCACCACCTGTGTCCAATTTATACAATTATCCCCATCACCCAAAACCGCCTTCAAAATAAAAGCATAAAGAATTACTTTAACTTAAATAATTATTCATTTTATATAAACAAAAACAGCTAGTTAATAAATAATTATTGAATAAAATAAATAGTTCCACCTCCCACCATGACCTGGTTGTCTCTCCTTCAGCCGTGAGATCCTGGACCAGCAGGACGGGATGATCGAGGACGACGGGCTGACCGGCCTCCTGCGTCTCGCCACCAGCGTCCTCAAACACAAACCTCCCTTCAAGTTCTCGCGCGAGGGTCAGGAGTTCCTGCGCGACGTGCACAACCTCCTCTTCCTCCTGCCCAGCCTGGCAGACCGCGCTCAGCCCAAATGTAAATCTCACGCCGCCCGGGCCGCCGCCTACGACCTGCTGGTGGAGACGGTGAAGGGATCCGTGGAAAACTACCGGCTGCTGCACAACTGGGTCATGTCCCAGCACATGCAAGGTGAGGAAGATGACTACGTGTCTCTTTATATCTAAAGTTGGTTACCAGGTAGAAAATAACTCTCTGCACTCTTATTCTTATTCCTGCTTTGACACCTGATGTTCCCTGTTAGGGGATTTATGAGGGTGTATCTTGTCTTAAAATGGCTTGAACAGAAAAGTGATTTATTGTAAGTCTGAAAGTTTGCTACCCCAGCTGTTTGAAATATCTCTGTGGTTGTTTGTGTTTAAATTGTCCGACGGATGAGTTAGTGAACATTTAAAGAGGGGCATGAACTGTCACTATTAGTGAGGTGTTTTTAAAGTTCCTCCACTACCGGCTTAGCTGATCATGTTTTCTATTATTTTATGATTTTTTTTGGTTACGGTTTTTTACAAAAGACACATAAGCGTACAGATATTTCCTTGTAAACTAAACTTTATCGACGAAATTGATATTGTTGTGATGTTCGAGACAAGGCAAGTTTATTTATAGGACATGTCAGACACTAAGGCATTTCCTAGTGCTCTTCCTAAAGTACATATACAGTATATCTATATGTACAAATAATATACCGTAATTTTCGGACTATAAGGCGCACCTGAATATAAGCCGCAGCAGCTAAATTGAATGATGTGTACATATACTTATATATGTACACATCATTCAATTTAGCTGCTGCGGCTTATATTCAGGTGCGCCTTATAGTCCGAAAATTACGGTATATTATTTGTACATATAGATATACTGNGCAGAAATTATGTTATAGTTAGGTCACATATTTAGTGAAATTGTAATGTGTCAAACTGTTACAACGAATAAAGTCCAACAACATCCACTGGCTGAGTTTCAGTGGAGATTTCTGTTGGTTTACGTAAATGAGGATTCACAATAATCCCAAATTTCTAAGAAGAGAAAGAGATAAGTGAATTCTTGGAATTAAGTACATTCTGGAATAATCACTGCAGGCCTTTATACGAAACCCAATTTCATTCAATTCTCATTTAAAGTCAAACATTGATCAACTTTGGGGTTTTACTCATGGATCTGATATCGTCAGCACATCTTGCTTGCATAAAGCACAGTAACGTTATATGAATATTTGAACGTTTTGGTAGAAATGTGACTGTGCTTGCATGGCATTCTCACCCTGAGGCGGTTGGTGAACATTTTGTGGAGGTTGAGCTCAGAGGCGGGGCTTCCCAGCAGCACGGCGAAGCACAGCTGCAGCCCCAGTTTGTCCCTCACATCCTCCAGTCGTTCCCGGGCCAGCATGGCCAGCTGCAGGGAGGGGACTCGAACCAGCAGCATGTGGCCCCGGCCCGGGGAGCCCTCTCTGCTCGGGGCGTTGATCAGGTCCTCCACCATGGCCAGGGTCTCTGGGGTTATGTGGTCTCTCAGCGAGGGTGAAGAGGTCAGAGCCATCATGGCCTCAGTGTACTGCTGAATCAGCAGGTAGCTGCGGATCACCATGCTGTGCAGGTGCGGATGTCTGTGGCACACATAAGGGAGATCATTAGGGTGAGCTTTAAAGCTGATTATATTTTATCAAAACAAGCATAATTTAGAGGTCTGTGTTTAATTGACCTACTCACTGCCAGTAAATGACAGTGGTCGAATGAAAGTAAGTGCATTTACTCAAGAACTGTACGTAAGTCGTTTTTTTCATTGCACTTTATTCTTCTACTTCATTAGGGGGGGAAATATATGTATATATCAGTGATGTGCAGTTAGATAAGTGGATGGGAAGGCACTGGCTAGTAGTTTGGTCAAAATGAAAATACCCAAAAGTAAATACATGTGGACAAACTTGAATTGGCTTCTTTATTGCCCATAGATAACAAGTTTTTTTTGTCTGAAAATAAATTGTATCTACAAAATAATGTATTCTTACGTCTTCTCACACTTACTCAAATCTATTGAGGTAGGTGTTTTGCTTTACATTCCACTGTATTTTATTGGGAATACTTTGAGTACATCATCCTGATATACTCACATATGTTTATTTAAGTCAGATTTGCAATGCACTACTTTTATTTGTAACATAGTATATTACTTCTTTCACTGAAGTAAATGATATAAATACCGCCCTGTACCACTGCTGAATGCCATTTCAAAACGACAAAAAAACCCACATCAGTTACAGTTGATATTACATCACACAATAGTAACGGATGACAGCTCACTGACCTCTCCAGCAGTGTGTGGACCATCTTCTCAAAAGCATCATCACAGCGCAGGATGGGGCTGGCCACGCCCCACTGCAGGGAGCTGCTGTAGTCCCTCAGGCCGAAGTACAGCAACTCATAGGGAGACTGCTCCCCCTGCTGGAAGAACACCATAGAATTATAAGCACATGGTATACTTTCAATTCTTTTTATACAATCACTTCACTGCACCAAATCCCGAGTTGATGAGCAGAACGTGTTCACTTAGCATGATGCTGGAACTGAGAAATTAAATAAATATCAAGTTCATTTTTGGCTGATGCCCCCTCAAAACGTGGCAAAGTCTACGTGCTACTATCAGCACCAGTAGCAACGTGTCTGGGTTATGAGAAAGACCAAGGCTTAAGTAATATTCAGGAATGTCTGGAAATTGTTAGTTTTTATTTTTATTTTATCCTGTAGTGTTAACTTTCTCAGTTTCGCACTAATGCTTTAAACCATTTAATCTAAATCATACTTAAATACTTTGCATATAATTTAGTGCCGAGCTCTGAGACCTTGAATTAAATTAAATTAAATTAAATTTGATTGAATAATTAACAGTACAAGATCAAATCATTAGGATAAACATAACCCTTTTTAGAAAGTAAGTGCAAAAACAATTACAACACACAATGATGTGAAATCTGAAGTCTGTTTTTAAGACTGAATGAATTAGATGAATCATGAACAGAAATAAACAACATTTTATATTGAGGCTTCTTAGTAACCTTATGCTTCTCCCCATGTTTCCTGTCAACCTCTACAAATTAAAGCAAACCAACCCCAAAAAGAAGGATAGGCTGCAGTCGAATAGTCCAAAAATCAGCTCCTAAGTTCTAACCCTATCTCCTATTCCTTGACCTCTGAGTGAAACATCACGGGGTTAAGGGATAGTAGATAGGAGAATTCAAGAGGACTTAGGAGAAGAGACTGCGGTACTTTAGAGAATCCAAATGCACTTTCACTATCTGACGTGTTTATGATGCAGCGGACGTCATTGTGTGCGTCTGCTGCTGTGGGGAAACTATGGAAACTACAGTTTTCTATACGCGGACTACATGGATGTTTAATAAGAACGAGGGACTCATCTAGAGACTCTGCACCGTGCTCTGATGCTGTTGCTTTATGCTTTATGAACGTGGACAACAGAGAAACATATTCTTCATGACCAAAGTTTGAATTGAAATAAAAAAGGAAAGTGAAACTTATGCTCGTCACCCTCTCCCTCCGGTTCACATTAATAAATGATCCCAAAGATTGTATGAACTATGAAAAGATCTTAAAATAAATACAAATGTATTTATTATAAACGTTAGTCCTTAACATCTATCACTGTGTATATCACCATTCAAACATCTTTTAAAAGTTGAACAAACCCCACACAGCTCAGTGAAATGTTGACTTTATTTGATCATTTCAGTAAAAACTAACGTTCATATTTCTCTTTCTGATTATAATACTGATGAACGTTCAAAACAAAGCACTTTGGCAACTTACCACATACGTTTTAAAATGCTTAATAAGCACCGTAACTTTCATGATATAATTTCTCCGTCATAATCGTTTGTTTCCGTGAACGGCCGACTGTTGTGTGACGGCAAATACTGCGGCTGCAAGGCATTGTGGGGCAGCATTTTCTCCTCTCCTTTCGGTTAAGGAGGTCCAGTGGTTCCTAAGCTAAAGGAGGTTATAAAGGAAGTTTGAAACCTCCTTTCCTATCATTCTAGAGAATTCGAACGGCACTTATCATGGCTGCCACTGAGGGACTTCCGGGTCATTTCACTCCGTTAGGAAGGTTCCTAAGCTAAATGGACTATTCGACTGCAGCCCTAGTATCGTCTCATGTTAGTGTAAGTGCACTCTATGTCCACCAGGTGGAGTAGCTGAACCACAGCTGTTCCAAACTGGCCTCTGCATGCTGCCATAACATTGCAATTGAAAAAAACATCTGACATCTCAAAAAGTACATACACGACTTCCACTAAACTATGACGCTTCACAACAATGTCGTCATGGATGCATTAGATTTACTTTATTATTCCATGGGGAGGTTAAAATAATACTCACCAGACTTTCGTTGGTGGGCCAGTGAACTTCGTTGTGGATGCTGATGCGGGACTGGTGGGTCTGCAGTGTGTGTGGGAAGCAGCTGACCTGCAGCACCAGGAGGTTCATGGCATCCAAAACTTCCTGGCAGTTCACCACCCGGTCAGCCAATCCCTGCAGCTCGCCGTGGCACACAGAGCCGGACAGAGCACTGTGGAGGGAGTGAGGCAAAGTGTTTGAAACCTTAGATAGGGATATTTATAAATTCATAACATTTCAGATTGATGCAAATAGCACCTCGGTTAGGGACATGGCTACAGAGGGGTTTTATATTTGCTGCTCTAACTGCCCACTGGATAGTAGGTCATTCCCAAGAATATGCCTCTGGAAAACAGGAAGTGATCTATTTTCAGTTCCTGGCAGTGACAAGAGCAGTATACTTGGAATAAGATCCTAAAAGCACAAACAACCTCCTCGGAACAGAAGAGTAAAACTGCATCAACACAAATTCAAACATATCAAATACCACTTTGACCCATATAGGCCTCTTTGTGGTATTTGTTTCACTTGTTTTTTTCCCTCTCTCCACTAGTCAGTTTATAAAAAGGACAAGGTTGGATTTGCAGCCATAACAACCGGCCGACAAGGACAAATGCGCTCTAGCAGCCCAAAACATTTGTCTTCAGGAGAAACACACTGCAGCTTTAGAAAAAATGGAAGGAAAATCCAAAAATAAATCCAACAACAAAAATAAGGCTGCAAATGATAAAACATGCTGCAGATAAGCAGCAAATACAGAAAGGATGCAAGGTCAAATGCAACAGAAATAACTGCATATCCATTCAAAACAAAAGTCCCCAGGTTTCACAGCTTTGTGTGCCGTCAGACAGTTTTTCACATTACATATCATTTAGCTGACGCTTTTATCCAAAGCTACGTACAATAAGTGCATTTGACCATGAAAAAACTAAATCAGGCAAGAATCCTGCAGGTACATTTTTTTTCTGTTATTTTTCAAATTGTTTCTTTGCTGCAGCACGTTTGTACCTATGCAAATGTGTAAGGCCTTTGATACCAGATGTCTTCCGCCATATTTTGATTATCAACAAAGCAAACTAGTGTCAGTGGTTACCTCGTGAGGTCGACGTGTGAGTTGTCGTGAATGAGGACGAACAGGGTGTAGGGGTTCTGCTTGACTTTCTTCATGAAGGCTTCCATCTTAACGTGAACATCAGCGTCCAGACGCACCACGTATTTGTCTGATTTCTGGAAGGCTGAGCAGACGTCTTCAACTCCCAAGTCAACAAGCACTCCTGAGCAAAAAAGTTAAGAAATGAGTGTTAAAGAAGAATCTCGTTAACAATGCTAAAACATGAAGTCTTTAGCAATAAGAGTTTAGAGCTTGTGTGGCCCAATTGTCCTCCTTGAACTTGTATTATGTTGTTGTTCATGATGTTGCAGTTTGACACACACCTGATTGTCGGATGCGCTGTGCCGTCTGGTGTACCAGGATGTGAGATGGAGGAACCAGAACAAGGAAGTCCACTTTACAAAAACGTCCCAAGTCCAGGTTCTGGGTTCCTGAGTCGGCGATGGAGCAGACCTGAGAGAGGAGGCTCCGCGCCACGCTCAGCTGCTTGGGATAGATCTGGAAGAGCTTACATAAGATCTCTGCTGCAGGAAGACAAAGAGATGGAAAGGTTACCGATTAGTTTAGTTACCAAATGTAATCACAACAAAGTAAGACTGACCTCAAGAACAATATTGCTTTCAATGAGAAGCATTGCTATGAATTTATTGTAATTTATTTACAGTGATAATGTGGTGCTTGGTTGCAAAATAACCATTCATATTTTATTAATTTCAGATTATTTTTATTGATAAACAGTTCACAATACAAGTATAACGATGAGAGTAAATGGAGATATGCGAAATGGGACACACCAATAAGATATCCAGAGCTTGAGAATACTAAACATAGGGTATTTACAATATGTTTTACTAACATATCTAGAATTGGAGATAGTTCATGTATTATTCAGGAACATTTATAAGAACGAAAAACACATGACACTAAGAAATGTACTTTAAAACTGAACTCATGTAACCCAAACTACAAAATGGTCCCAAAACATTTATTCCATCAGTCCATGTTGATAGGATAATATAATTAAGGTATATTTGTATTTATGTTTATTTTTTTGGCTTGTAAAAAAGCGTACTAATCAATGCTAAGGAGAGCTGAGCAGTTCAGTGAGGGTATGAAGAGCAGTATAACCTCTGTCTGAGGGCGGTGACATGCTGGCAGCCTCCTGCGAGTGGATGTGATCATTGACATCGCCCTGGAAGGGCTGGATGACCTGTCCCTTCCGTCGGCGCTGGTATCGCACCAGCTGCTTGTCCAGATTGTCTCCTAAAAAAGAAAAACAGTCACCATAGTCACACAAAGACACAGAGCAAGGGATACAAGCTGCTAGAACACGAATATTCTCTTTGATATGCAGCACAGTCACTGGAAAACATGGAAATGCTTGTTATCTTACGAACAAATGAATCAGTGACAATCAAAATGTGTTTTTTTTGTGCTTATACTCTATACCAAAGACCCATGCAAACATCAAGTTGCAGATATGTAGCTGCCTAAACAAATATAGGATTAATAATCATTATTTATATAGCATTGGCAAATAGACACTTTTTTTCCTCTTTATTATAGAATGTTGTGGGAAACATTGTATAATAATTAATTTTGTTTGTTTTAAATGAAGACTTAGTGTTTTTCAAATATTTTGATATGCCTTCATTGGACAACAAAACAGATTTCAATAAGCACATGTTGTATGGATGCACTGCTCACCTAGTGACGTGGTTTTGAAGTGAGACGCCAAGATGCTGACTTTCCCTGTGATGAGTTCGTAGCTGATCTCCTTCAGAAATTCATTTGTTGTCAGCATGCCTTCAGCTAAGGCCCGTGCTTGGTACTTTCCTGTATCAAACACATTATTCGAGATTTGATTCATAGTATTGTTACGATAATATTTTTGCAGAGATTGAGGTAATACTGTTAAAGTTAAATGATTTCCACTCACCCAAAACGAGCACACAGAACTCGTTGCCGCTGATTTTAGAGGCACATATAATGACTACATAGTTGGGCAGGCACTTCTGCTGGTGAATACCCTCAGTGAGAGAACGAAGGGACTCCGAAATGCCCTCTCCCAAGGAATTATGGGTAACTACGACTTGGACGCTGCCTCCTGAGACGCTAGATTCCAGCCGAGCCAACCAGGGCAGCTGGGACGGGGATATGGCCGGACCCCTGGGACAGCACAGCATGGCCTTCATAACTATCTGCTCCAACTCCTCCCTGAGAGGAATCTGCACCGAGCCTGGGAAAAAAATAAATAATACGATAAGAGAAAACCCTGGAATAGAAGCAGGCATGTAACTTAATCTACAACAAAGTTAGATACTGGTTTTGCTTGCCATATTTCTGTTTAAATAAGACACCAGCACCTCCCGGTCATCCACCCCACTACCATGTGGGTACAAATACCAGTGATAGCAAGGCTTTTATGGGATTTGATTAGCTGCTTACCTAAACGTGCAAGATACTGTAAAGTGAGCAGAATCATTGTCTCCACACAGAGAAGCTGGCTGCTGTTGAGGCCCAACATCTCCAGGGTCTTCGCTGTCAGCTGGCTGCTCTTATAGCAGCTGACCAGGAGGGGGCTGACCACTATGTCCCCAACATTTCCATAGAAATAAGGTAAAGTGCCGTGCCCTGAAAAAGAAAGGGTATTATTAGACAAAACAGGAAAAAAAAATGCAGCAGCTAGAAATATGGAACATCAACAAGTAACTGAATTTTGTTCCTGCTGACTTACTTACATATATACTTATACAATAAATATGTATATATAAGAGAACACATGGTGGCTAACTTTGAGAAGCTGGGTAGAAATTCTGGCAGAAAATTCGAACCAAATCAAAATAAGAAATACATTACAACTTGTTTTTTAATACAATGAGGCTATAATGATTTTCTGCTTGCAGTTCAATTTTATTCTACAGAATTTAGGGAGGGTGAACTTGCCATAACCCATTTTTCTCTAACTAAACGTTAGATTGAAAAAAAAAGGTCTGCTATGCTCAGCGGGATGATATGTAATTTGTAGCATTAATCAAAACAAATAACCAAAACAAAACTCCTACCGATGAGGATGACAGGGCGAATTCCTGAAGAGTTGAGCAGGTTGTCGGGGACGATGACCGTCTCTCCCACGGTGACAGGTTGGGGCTGAATGACTCCTGCTACTGGTGGCAGAGGAGAGGACACCCCTAACACAGAGCCTGGAAAGGAAATAAACAACTTATATGTCAATACTAGGATTGATCAACAGTAGGTTAAGTTTTAACATATTAGTCTTTTACATTATCCAGAAAAAACGGGGCATGAATATTAACGGCCGTAGTACTGTGATCATATAAATACTATATACCGTAGGTAAAAACATCTGAGTAGAACATGTATTTGGAATAATAATAATAATAATAATAATAATAATAGATTTAATTTGTTAGCGCTTTTACAGGTGCTCAAAGACGCTTGATGATGCTTGTATAACAACCACAATCACACAATGTTGCAGACATCTCCCTCAATCACGCATGTTTTAAAAAAAACGATTTCTGAACTAAACTCTCCAGCTCTATCTCCATGGAGATACTGGATGAATCATCCCTGACAACCAGAGAGCGTCAGGGAGGTTGCACAATCATCCAAAGCACAGAGGGAAAGGAGAGCAGGCTTAAAAATAACAGAGTGTGTGCTCTTAAGGGCATAAAAAACACACTTCTGCACACACAGGAAATGAGCTAAAAAGAATACACATGGCAGAAATAATACATTACACACCAGAGAGTTGTGCTGATTGGTTCAGGGACTGACCTGGAGAACAAACTATGGGTCGAATGGGGGTCACAGGGACGGCTGTCGGTGGGACGGGTACCAACGAGTTGGGATGCCAGCTCCGGTGGCGCTTCTTTGGAGGACCAGAGTGCATGGCAGTGGATACTGAACATCCAAAAAAGACACAAAGAACAACGTCAAAACAGAAAACAAAAATGATTGTAAATGTATAAAAAACTGGCATCTAAAAAAACATTTTATTTAAAAGGGACAGCAGTAAGCTACTAAGTACATTTCTTCTTATGGAACATTTGTGACCTAATATTGTCAAAACAGGCCCTACATTGCAACACAATACATCACAAAACAATATGATGCTATGGAATAAATAAATACATTACAATAGCTGCAGGACGTATGTAAAAACAATAAGAGGAGGTAATGGCAGTGACAGAGATTAAGTAGTTTGATTACCTATGATTGCATGTTTGGTCTACTTGAAACCATCTATTCAGTTCATGCTTAAAAGTTAAGTAAAGGTGCTCTAATTCAATAGACAAACTATTTCAGTAGTGGGTGGGTCTGAATGAGAATAATTCCTGCCTGAACTTGCTGCGCCTGTATCGGCCCCTCTGGTAGTTGCCCTGCCTACTATCTACTGACTACTATCCTACAGCATTATGAAATGACTCAGGTTGTGAGGTGAAAGCACATGTAAAACATTAAAGATAAGGCAAGTGAAATACATTCCACTGTGTAGCCTATTGATTGTAAAATATGTGACATTATTTCCTCTTCAAAAGGAAGTACTTACAAGGACTGTCTCCTAGGTCAGCAGTGCGATACCCCTGAATCTGAGGCCCTAAAGAGACCTGTGAGGGGCTCAGTAAGGGAGGTCGCGCATCAACACCCAGGCCATTTATCGGCACGTTCACCCTCAGAGCTGTGGGAACTAAAGTCATACACACATGCAGTTGATTACACACTGATACTAAAGATACTTATTTAATGATTGTTGAAACAAGAAAAAGTCTGTGAAGGCAGTCTCTGTGTGAGGCTGTGTAAAGGCACAGCAGTGTTTTGAGCTAAATGCTAACACCAGCAGGCTAAAACAGTGACAGTGACATACACTGACAATATTAACGGTGTCGTTTTTTTAAATGTATTTATGTACAACAATCTCCATTTGTACTAGATGTAGCTACTAGCTAATTATTTCATGTTGATTGTGAGGTATAACAATGCTTCCACTCAGGGTGTGAGCATGGTAAACAATTGCTAATTAGCACAAAACACAAAGTACAGTTAAATCTGATCATTTGGGTCAACCAACTAAATATGATTCATTCTCTGGGCACAATGAACGTCCACAAGAACTGAGATGGCAAATGTTGCTGGGATAATAATATAACAAATATGTTCGCAGCTGTAACTATCTGCTGAGCAATACATCAGAATGTGTCAGTACTAACAGTGGCTTAGGGATTTCCTATGTATGAACATCTATTGCCAATAACCCAATTGGCCGTTTTGCAATCTCATATTCATTGTGTTTGCTATGGTCTGAAATATTGATTGGTGTGTGTAGCCTTTGCTTGTCAATATCACAACCTTGTGAAAAAAAGTCATTACAGCATTCCTCCCTTCAGTATTGATTGGTGTGTAAATACAAGTGCACACACATGCATCAGTGTGTGTGTACATGTTTTGTGTTTGTCTTAGCCAGCCATAGCAGAGGTTAATCTTGGGGCTATGGTAAGTCCATCTGCCTTGAGCTGAACCACGTAGCTAAGCAACGTTTTCTAGCATAAGTACCATCTAAGGCCATCTAAATTTCACTCGCATAAAGGCAAAGGCTTATAAGCATCTAAATCCTTGCAAATGCCACTGTCAGATCCAGGATGCAACTAGGAAAATGGGAGAGAGCTTAAATGTATTTGGTGTATGTTATTGTGTGTGTCTCTTGTATAGTCTATGTAGCAAAGTAAAAGCAAATTACATTGACATGGCTTGTAAAATAACAATACATTACAGGTGTACTGAAAATAAAAATGCTTCACCTATTGGTAGAGTCTTGTTTCCAGGTGTGGATAACAGAGGTTTGATGAAACTGCAGTCTCTGAAGTCCTGACTCCCGAAAAAGATAGAGGACACTTGCGTTGTTCTGGTTGGGGGAGAATCTGGAGATAAAAACAAGATGATAAATTATCATTAAAATACATGTAACATTTAGCAACTCCCTCCATTCCCATGACTATTTATTCATCTTCATGCTCTTAATCTAAGAGTCTCTTCTGTATCCAATGTCCACTGCACAATACAATCAAACCATTTGTTTTACTTTTCATCAATCATTCCTGGATAAAAATACGTTTCGGGAAGTGCACGTAACCTGATGACTTGTGCTAAGACTGAGCGACCTCTTTGGGAACAGGATGAACCTTAGGGACCCAGTCAGGAGATTTCAGCCAAAGGTTATGTGAGCAACAATCCCCACTGCTCTGCTCTCTGACACATGTGTGCGTGAGGTCTCTGTTGACAGGCAGCTTCCAGGTTCAGAACAAATCAATACCAAAAGCCCAGGAGCTTTTTTTAATCAAAGAGGGAACAGGAGCTCCTGTTGTGAGAGGTCAGGGAAGAAACATCACCTTAAAGCCAGGCCGAATCTTTCTCATAAGACATTTGGCGGTCAGATAACCTGAAATTATTTTAACATGTCGATATGACCTCATTTCATAAACAATGGCAAGATTAAAAAGTGTTGTGTAAAGACGTATGCTTCCCGGATGTATTCAATTCCCTCTTTGCCCTAAAACTAGTATAAACTAAATGGGCAACTGACATCAACACTGATAATAATATAATATAATAATAATAATAAAGTAGGTTTATTTACTATTGAATAAATGTCAGTAGGACAAAGGAAAATACCCCAAAGCGTCACAACAAAACAGCACTGATGAAACCAAGAGAGCCTCCTCTTCACTCACTGATAACAACCGGTGCAGACTTTGCTCATCTTAATACATTTCAGGGCTTAGCCACTACCATCTGTCTCTATGGCAACAACATAAACCAATCAGCATAAACCAAACAACAAAATAACTCAGATTGTCATTTTAGGGAGAATGGAGGCAATACATTAAACATACCTTTAGGGAGGATGTTGATAAATACTGGATAACTGTTTGTTTAATCACCAAGCAGGTAAATGAATCGATGTTGACCCTAAAGGGGATCACTAAATCTTCAAATGCGTTCAGTTATCTGTGCTTTGTGCAGTCTCACCTGACAGGGAGAAGGGAGAGGAGCTGTGTCCACTGGCGCCTCCATTTTCTTTGCTGCTGAGAGAGGAGGACGAGTTGGGTTTGGTCGTCGACGCACTGTTCGAGAACTGACGGGATTTACTGTCTGAGGAGAGAGAAATCACAAAAACGGTAGCAAACAGTTCTTAACAGCATATAATTTCTAAATGAAAAATGTGTTTGAAAAGGTCCGATTTGTACCTTTCCAGCAGATGAGGGGTCCTTTGCACAGAGCACCCTGAGCATTTTTCACCAGGTAGTTTTTTAAGTGCTTCTGCTTCTTTGGCTGAGTGGATAACTTCAGGTTGATGTGGTTTGAAAACTCAGTGAAGTATCTGAACCCCTTTTCTCCACAGCCCACACAGTTTCCTGAAAAACCTGGAGGAACACAAAAGGGAATATTGCATTATTTTACAGTTCTGTCTGTCTGACATCCTTCTACCAGGAAGTTGAAATGGCGCTGATATCCGACTGGGAGAACAGACTGACCTAAAAGTGCATTTTTCCCTTTATCATCAGGTAAAAAGCGGCGGTCCACGGCACACACCAGGATGTGCTCGGGCACACCGGGGGACCGGGCGCCGACCAGCTCGAAGCCCCCTGGGATGTCAATGGGCTCAGTTGCTATGGAGACCAGGCGGAGGTCCTTGCCGGCCTGGCAGAAACCTGAAGAGGAGGGATGAGACAGATGTGACATTTGAAGTAAATAAAGAGAGATTTTAGGTTGGATTGGATAGTTTATACTGTAAGGGAGGAAAACAAAGACACCCGCTATACTGTATATATATGTAATGTTTATGTGATTCAAATTAAACCTGTTAAGTGTTTATGGTCTACATTAAGGCCTTTAAAGTTACCGTCCAGTGTGCAGCAGCCGTCGGGCGCAGCGGCCTGAAGGTAGGGGAGGGGGGGGCTGCTGCTGTCTGAGTCATCATCGTCCTCCATCTCCTCCGGATCGTTGGAAGAGTTTCTGTTCACAAGCTCGTGGCCTGGCTCCACAACATGGAGGTCTGCTTTTGACTTCATGTCTGATGGACATTTTAAATGTGATTATTTTCACCAGGCCTGGATTAAAAGTATAGGTAACACTGGATTTTCAATTACTAAAAAAGTTCAAATAGATTTACAAGAAGGAATTGAAATCGTAATTGAATACTCATCATAGGAAATTATAGCGATTTAAAGAACACTAACATAAAGAGTCGTTTTAGACAATGCACAGCAATTAACCTCAACAGGCAAAAGTTAGACATTTTGTTTAAAGTAACGCATTAAATTTAACCTACGTAAGAAATTAAGTTATAATAATACATGTATGCAATTTTATGTGAGTTTAACTAACTAACTAACTAACTAAGAAATTCTCTTTAAAATAAGAACCAACTGACATATTTCTGTTCGTAGTAAACTTTCCAAGAAATTATTTGGAAATACACAACCACAGCTTTGACTCAATAAGTCAATATTGATAACATGTCAGTCCTTTTAGGGAACATGTAACACTTTCACAATGAATGTGTCATATTTTATATTTTAACCAAAGGTGAATGTCAAGAAACTCATTATTGATAACCGGGCAGACTTGTGCATTTCCTACCTTCCATGTTACCAGGATACTGCTCCGGGTCCAGGTAGAGCTTTGTGAAGATGGGCTGTGGGTCTCCACTGCTGGAACGCAGCGACGCCTCGATAGAGTTGTGGAGAGCCTCTTCAAATCGAGCGGACTTCAGCTGCCCGGCGTACGAATTCCCCATAATCTGTGAGAGCAAAGAGAGGCAGCATGATGAGCAAAGACGCACAGTCATGGTGCTGCTTATCTCCATTCATTAATTAGCTCCTTTCAGAAGAATAGTAAGCTCTGCAGACGGCCAACCAGCAGCACGTGTCTCCTACAAATGAAGCTGTACCCATCTTGAAACTCTCATTCTAAAATTGGAAATACCAAACTATTGATTGGTCTATCAACAAAATGGTGAAAATGTGCTTTGGTTGCAGCCACAGATGTGCCAGAAAATTGAATAACATGCACATGCTCTTTACAAAACATATACTTGCAATCACACACACATACACACATACACACACTTTCTCTATGTCAGCCCAAACAAAATGTCCAAGGCCAAGGTTTTTTTGCTCTTTTTTTTGTTGTGGCTCTTTCTCCTTCTGTCTGTTGTGTCACCTTGCCTGTTCTGCCCCTGTGCCCCCTACACCCCAGTGTCCACTCAGGGACATCTGCCGGGGTCGGCTGTGGACCCCAGGTTGGCTGCAGCTCTGGTGGCAGGTGGCAGCTGGACAGAGGGCTGAGCATGCAGTCTCAAATCAGAGAGCACAAGAAAGAGAACCAGAAAGCACTTAAATGTCGGGTAAAAAAGCAGCACTGAACAAAGGTGCCCAATCATTGCAAATGGGAGCTTCTTACTCCTCCAACTCCCATTTTTCGGTTGTCATAACATTTCACTATGTCTGTTTTTATACCTAGCAAGTCGTCAAGAGCGTTGAAACTGTAAGTTGAAAACGCGAAAAAGGGAGTTTTGGCTGCTTTCCTGACACATGAGTTTGACCTGAAGGGCCTCCCTTTTCTGTCCTTGGACTTCATTTTCACAAGAGCAGCCAAGAGGAGGGTCAGGTTAAAGATTTCAGCTGTTTGGAGGAAGCTCAAAGTCTTCATTCAGGCATCAAAAGGATCCTGTGCAGCTGTTCAAGCACTTACATGACAACGTTTTGAAAGAAGTCAGTTAAAAGTGATCTATTTTTAAGCTTCGAAATTAGTAATGACAAATAACTAGGCTTTTTAAGAAAAACAATTTCCATAACAAAAATAACCAGATAGTAGATATTCATATACATATTACTATAAAGCAGCTTTTTAAAACTGAATACATTTCTTTAGGGGGTAAAGGTGCACATAGGCTGGATTATAAATGTAGTTGCAGCAATTTGGCTTGATAAAAATAGGATAATTCAAGCAATTTTGCACTAAACATAGACACTAGATGTGTTTAGCCACAGCTAAACCTGGAGACCCTGTACCTCAGGCAGTTAAAGCAGTTATCCAGCTCCATATTAGATGATGACTCCCACCCTCTGCACTCAGAATGTAAGCTTTTTCCTTCGGGCCGGAGGTTACTTCTCCCAAGGAGTAGAACGAAGCCGTATCAAAACAGTTTTATCCCAGCAGCTATTGCACAAATTAACACATCATAGGAGCGTCACACAGATGCCCATTTTTATTTATTTATTTACCGTAATTGTGAATTTTGAATGTTCATGTTTGTACTAGGGTTTTCCTTCTTAAAATATTTTGAAAATATTTTGAGATTTGGTTGAGCAGGGTGAGTCTTGTACTGTTACTAGTCCTTTTATTAGAGATGTGTCTGTTGTTTGTGTTTGTTTTTAGTGTCAGGGTGGAACCCTTGTCTTTTTCTCTGCAAACAGAATCTACCTACGGGTACAAATAAATAACCTGAACCTGAACCTAGATAAAACATTTAATTTAAATAAGTAATCAACATGTTGTTAATCTACAAAATGTCAAAAAGTAATAAAAAAAATATCCATCCAAGACTCTATGATCTTCAAATATGCAACCAACATATTAGACAGGGTGGCTGAGCACACACTGAGTGAATGTTAGTCAGTGGATCAATATCTACCAGATAAACAGTGCCTTTTAGCCCCAACAGAAACCCTGAACCTTTTTGTTTTGTCAATACTCTGCGGGTTGGGAATCAAGTTGGAGCTGCCTTTCTCCTCCAGGTCTCCGTTTGCCCACGCCTGAACAGGTTCCAGACCCCATGTTTACCTTCCTGGGGAGGAATCTGACCAACCCAGACAAAAGACAAGATTAACAGTGCCTGACTGTGCTGGAAAAGAGATAAGCAGCTTAACAGAATGAAGCTACAGTATTTTTTGCTTAACTGATGGAGGAAGGTGGCTGCACAGAGAGACAAAGACAGAGGGGGTAGACTGAGTGCCTGAGGGCGTTTTTAAAGCAGCGGCTGCCTCTACAATTGAGAAGTCAAAGAAGGCTCCGGAATCCTCTTCGGTTGCCTGACCCTCAAGCCTCAGCGGACATATGTGTCATTAACCTCACACATGCCGGAGGTGAACACAGAGAATGACCTTTTATCACCTGCACAACCTGAAACAAAGCGTGACTGTTCAAAAGGTCCCTGACCGGATGTTTCTGGGGTGTGACTCAGGTGGTTGCTGAGGTCAGTTGTAGTGACAGGGAGGTATTTCAGGTGAGTCAGCGGCTGCATTTTACTTGATTGATGGCCAAACATAATTAGTGTAGTCTACTGTGGAGAAGCAGTTTCATGTTAGAGGACTAATGGCTTCAAAAGTGGTTTTCATGTCACTGAGTGCTGCGTTTAAAATGGCCTCTCGGGCAGTCAGATGGTCAGTCAAGGCCATTCCTCAGCTCCTGGGTGGCATCGACAGATTGCATGAATGTGACCCCAGATCAGAGTAAGGTCATCTTAACTCAGTGGATTTGAGAAGACCAGGACACAGAAAATATGAGCTCAAAGACACTATGAAATTCATCATTTACAAATGAGCAGTGAAAACAAATTGAAAAAGGCACTTACGTTGTTGGATTGTTCCCAGGCGTGAAGGGACTTGTTCAGCTCTGCTACATGCTGGATCTCTACCATTCAGCGGAAACCTTCAGCAAAGATATTTCACTCAGTGATTCGAGACCTGGGGGAAAGCAGGGAGATCTGCAGTTAGCTCACATTATAACTGTGATAAAGCGAAACAAAAATTAAACATGTTATACCTCCTGAAAGATATGCTGCAGCAGACTGGAATTACATTTACTATAGTAGCTAGGATTGTAGGATTGCGTTAATCTTTATTTATTAAAAACGTAACAAACAGGAACAAGGAAATACTTTTAAAAGTAGTGTAGTGTCTGATTTCGTTTTTAAGACTTACTTTTCCTAAAATGTAAAAATAAAAACATTTTATTAACCAACTTGTTCCCATTGCAAATTTTGAAAATAAATGTCCTATTTAGCACGGCATTACCGTGTTTATTACTAAGTTGTTTAAAAGACACCCACAAAACATGATGTCAAAAGACAGATTAAGGCTTATTAGTTAATTATATCTCACTAATTACCAATTATTCGGAACAAATATGTAAATTAAATTGTTGTACTGCTTCTGACATACTGCTGAAAACAATCTCCTTAAGAGGTTTTGTAGATTAGGTACAGTGTTGAGATAATGTAGCACTGCAATAAATGCCATTAACGTGCTGCAGAAAGTGTGGAAGTGCAGGTCACCACGGTCCGAGGAACATGCCCATTCGCAAAATAAATTGGTGCACTTATGGCCACTCTAACATCAACAGTAGCTCTAACCATGACATATGTACTCACTGCGAGGCAAAAAAAAGGCGTTATGTCACACCACGGCCCCCGGGGCTATTTTCATAAAACACAATTGGGCACTCACTACACACAGTCACTCCCCTCTGAATGGATTTGCCAGCTACTTTGACCCTTTGACAAGTATTGTTTAGCCACTCAGGCTCTGAAACAACATAAGCAAAGTTTCATTCAAAACACTGACTGTCACAATCTACCGTGTCATCATTTCTGAATGTATTGGTCCGGGGTCCAAGTCCTTCAAGTGTATACGATGGTCCAACTTGCATTGACTGACCACAATATAATTTATTATGTGAATGATTAGCCAGTGTGATATTGTTAATCAAGGTAAAGAGTTACAAATGTCAATATGACTAAAACCTGCTTCTTTAACTTCTGTGCAACTGAAATGCATTTTCACACTTTTGTTTGAATCAGAAGTAAATGTAGCATTGGTCATAAGAAATGTAAAATACTTGCTAAAGTATCACAGCACAAGTTCAGGCTTTACTCTGCACTGGGTGTTCCCACCAACATCTCAAACTCTGCTAATTACCCAGGGAGCAGAGTTTTGAAATATGTTGATGCTTATCTAGTTGTGAAGAGTAGACGATAGGAGACGCAGATGGCTCCTCAGATGAAGACGAAGGAGCCATAAATCTAGACACTGACACGAGCCAAGCCCGAGGTGCTTATTAAGGTTCTGTCTTTTCAGTAATGACATTTAAGGGAATGTTAAGGCCAACACGCTGGGTCAGTTTCAGCCAGAGTGGACTGAGGGCAAAGGTTGGACACACACATTTCTAACATACTCTTTTGTAATGCAAATACAACTTCATGTGCAGGCACACCCAGTATATAGCTACTTCTAATATGCAGTGCAATGTGTATCAGGGCTTTCTTTAATTGTAGCAAATATAATACACTGCAGTTGAAAATGATCAAATTGGAATATGTTGTAGTTTAAGTTTTAATCATTCCATTACAGTACGTCCATTAAATAACTTTTTTATACAAAGGGAACTTTTAAAAACTGGCAACCCATAATTTTACATTATTAATGACTTTCATCGAACCTGATGTGAACCTACTGTACCGAGCCCCTTTGAGTTAGAAAGGCTTAAACTAAAAGGTTTAATTTTGTATTGTGTAAAGTGATCCTGACTTAAATAACATAAGGTATTTAACCATTTAAAACATTTCTGATATCTTAGTCTATCCAATTGAGCCGATTTTACTTTTAAATCCTGTCTTTCTTTCTCTACAGTCCTTCTTTTGTTTCTTCCTAAATTGCATAATTACATTACAGTGTTTACAAAAGAGGGAGAAAAGCAGGATTTACTTCCCCTCTTGATCTGGTTGGATCACATTCTGACTCAGCAGATCCTTCAAGTCAAAGCCACATTTCTTAATTCATGTCAAGCTATTATTCTACTTTCTTTTTTCTCTTCAAATTAATATGTCTGAGAAATAGAGTTAGGAAGATGAAGATACTTTCCATAAAGATAAACTTGACATTTGTCTTTTGTTTAACAAGTGCTATTTAAAAAAACGACATAGTAAAGAATAGTTAATCCAGGATAATTAAATAAATACAACATACTGACTTAATTCTCTTTTCACCTAAGCCATGAAAAAACAGGGATGTGGGTAAAATGTTAACTAAAATGTGATAAACATCTTAATGGTTTACACCTCATTGTTATAAATTAACATTTTAATTCCATGCCAATAGTTGAAATGCAGGAATGAGCTCAGCACACTGTTAACATTAGAAAAGCTGTGTTGAAAAGACACTGCTCATCAGACATGAGAGAAAGGGGGATGGGGTAAGAAATGAAGAAAAACAACTAACAACAAACATCTCTCCTTGCTCTCTGAATTAGGTGTGAAAAGCCCAACTCATTAATGCTACCTCAGTCACACGTGACACACAGCAAAGCAGTTAAATAAAAGCTTCTCCTGTACCTTCCATGATTACTCGACCAGTGGGTGAACCCTCAAAAATCCAAATCAAAAGCAGTAAATTCCAGATGTGACAAAAGTGTTTCTCTCAGATGTAGTCCATTTTAGACAATAAATCCCAGTGGAAAGAATTTGTTGATATCCAGGCAGCATATGGAGTTTAAATCTTCTCTGGCATGTATCAAGTCACCTTCGTCATGATACGCTATAGAGAGTATGGCGGGAGGTCGGGGAGGCGTCCGGTGTCGGGGACGAGGAAAAGCTGTGCCGTGGGGGAACAGCGGAGTAAAAGACTTTACCTCAAAATATTTGAACCCTGTCAATTGAAGGGGTCACTGAATTACTAACCTACTGAAGAAGTAGGACCGGGTTACCGAGGAAAACAGGGCGGGGGGAGGTCCGGGGACATGGGAGACGGGGCCAGGGAGACCCAGTGATAGTCCCGGGGAAATTTTGGGGGGTCAAGTGGAGTGAAATACAAGGTGTCTAATTATTAGGGATCTTTGTGTGTGGGGGTTGTGTGTGTGGTGGGCTGTGTGTGGTGGTGTGGTGTGTGTGGTGTGTGTGTTGTGTGTGGTTGTGGTGTGTGGTTGGTGTGTCGTGTGTGTGGTGTGTGTGTGTGTGTGTGTTGTGTACCGTTAACACGTGTTGGAGTTGGTACCGTGGGAGGTCCCCGATAATAAGAGGTGAACTCCGGGGGACGAGACAGAGAGGAAGGAAGAGAGAGAAAGAGAACACGACGCAAAGTCGTCCCTAAAGTCTACACTTTACAAACGGAAACAAACACACGGTTGACCTGGGTACTTACTTGGGGAATCGAGTAGACGAATAGGAAGGTGGAACCCCGTGAGTTTAAACCCTGTATAGTCACCGGGTCCTCCATTCAGGGGCTCCTCACCTCCTCCCCGAAGGCCTCCAACTCCGAAAAATTTCCCCTTTAATCTCCGAAACCTTAACGGGGGTTGGGCCGATATTTTGTGAGCAACGCTTCAGGGAGTGTGGGAACCCCGCATCCATATTTGGTGGACGTCCCGTGCCATCTTTTTCCCTTAGATGACGACGCCCCTTAAAAGTGTACAACAGTACAAAACAAAAAATGTGAAACTCCCCGTCCGTCCCAAAAAAAGAATAACATTTTCCCTAGGTCCTGCAGCGAATTGATCGTGGAGACACGCATTGAAGGAGGGGGTGACTATGAAGTAGAGAGTACCCGAGCTAAACCAGTCAACTTGGAGAAGGATTCATAGGTGGAGTTTGGGCCGGTGGCCTTTTAGTTATCATACACGTTCCTCCCCAATCAAAGACATACGACTCAGTCGTCTGTGTTTCCGACACCGCCAAGGATACCCCTTAGGGATTCTCTTATTTTTTTGGGGGGTGGGGGACGGTGGTAAAATTTCTCGTAAATTCCGTGTTCTAGAAGGGGTCTTGGTGGGGTTGTCCGACTAGTACACTGAGCCAAGAAAGGAGTGACGCACCGGTCCCTGGTGAAAGGGGAAAACAGTCCTTGAAATCGTGTCTCGAGTTAACCGGTCGCCACTCCCTAGACCAAATCACCCGCCCTTTCGGTAGTTAAGGTGGATGAGGAAAACCAAAAAAACCTCGTGCACCGGAAAAACTCCGGTTTTCTTTATTACGGCCCAAATGAGTAATAAGAGGACAAGGTTTCGGCGATTAAAATCTGTCCGGTGCAAGTTTTTCAGTCCGATTCTTGTATTTTAGTGCGACTGTCCGTAAGAAAAGGGGGGTCAAAACTTGAAACACCCGAGTGTAAGATAAAGTCGTACTTAAGGGGTAACAACCCTCTAACTGAAACAATGTTTGGGACTAACTTCAATTAAAAGGTGTTAGGAAGTTTAACAGTTAATATAACCTCGTAACAAACTAAAATGGCGGGGGTATGAACATAAAGGTACACATAAGAATAATTTCGTTATTGGTCTGTGTATTTAAAGTTGTCAGGGTTTGAGGTTCGGGTTACAAATCCCTGTTTCACCACTCTAGCGGCTCTCTTCTGTCTCACACACTTTCGCCGGCATTCTGAATTACCATCCGGGGACTCTAACCCGACCGCACCTCCAATGCCGTCGGTACCACCGACCGGACAGGGGGGAAAATATATTTGGAACCTCACTTCCAGCTTTTCTCAGACGTTGCTGAACTAATTTTGTGACAACCTGGCACAAGACAGCCATTCAACTTTTGACCTTGGCGCAATGCCCGAGTCGATTCGAATTTATTTTGGACACCCGTTCAATTGCCCCTTTACACCTACTCTTAAATTTTTTCTGTCTGTATTGGTTCCGCAACATTAGGTAATTTAAATAATAAAATGCAAACAATATTTCATTCCA